TCTTAGAAATGTGCTCTTACAAGGGGCTCTTACAAGATCGATCCGACCATTTGCAATGGTATTAGTACCGTTTGATAACTGCTGTTTAACGCCGCAGTACGCGATCCGAAAGCTATCACAAGAATGCTGAGTTATGGGCAAAAGTCGGACCACGGACGGATCCCGTCCGTGGTCCGACTTTTGCCCATAACTCAGCATTCTTGTGGTATTAGTACCATTGTGTGCATCTTGAGACGCTGAATTCAGAGCCGCACTTCGATCTAGTGGAACATTTCTCTGGGAGAGCTAAGGGGGTACTCGCACTCTTTTCATACAGCGTATCTGTTTCACAGTGGTCATCAGTTAAACCCTCAAGCCAGCCTAAATATCCGTAGTCATGGATTAGTCTTGGCAACTTGAGAGGCAGTAACGAGAAACGTCCGCTACATGAAAAATGACCGAATTGCAGCTCCGCTAAGAAACTACATCGCAGCTGCAAGTATCAGTGGCTGCGGCGTAAGAGAATGCATTCTACACATGGCGGGCGCGGTAGCGACGCTCCACATGCAATTTCACGCGGAAATGAGGTGAATTAGTGCTCAGGAAGATCGTAATCAGCTTTAAGGCGATTTTCTATCGAAATCTGAATTCTTGACTGACTTCAAAAAAGTGGGACAGGGGTGATTTGTTAATAGCGGCAGCTACCACTGGTCCAGGGCGTTATCTTATTATCGGTGACTGGCCTTCCTATAAGAACAGCTTTTGGTTATAAGGGAAAGAAAGATTTTGGTCATAAGGGAGACTCAGCGATCAGACAAAGCGCGCGATCAGTCATCATCACAGAAAGTGGATTAGGGGTTTGCTTATAAACAACAAGGTTCTGCGTAACTCGATGGTGAAGAAAAGGCGAAAAAACGTCCCCTACATTGGACCCATTCCGACCCCGGCTGTACGTGCCCAACTACCTCCATCTCCAACACTGTCACCTGTCACCTGTCACCTGTGCTCCCGTTGATCATCGAGTTCCTCGAGCGGGCGCCAGTAACGTCTCCATTCGTCCCTGCAACGTGCAAGAGTTGCCCAATGAAACTCTCCCAGCTCGAGGGACACGATGAACTTCATACCATTCGTTCATTCCATTTCAGAACTTTAACGAAGAAATTCTCTGACCATCGCGTAGGCAGGGTCTTCCAGGGCGTTCGCCTTGACATCCCGTGAAGAATCCATCGGTGAACTGCTCTAGCGTCCAAGCGGTCGCTCCTCGAAAACGCATTGACGTGTCCGGCAGCCACCTGATCTCAAAACCGTGGCAAATGCCGGCGGAACGTCTCATTGATCTTTGATCGTTGCGGAGTGCGAAGAGCTCCGGATTCCCCCCTCTCACTTGCCGTATAGCGGAGGAAAAAACTTCCCCAGGCATCGCCCTTTCGATGGCGCGTTGAATAACACCGACCGCATGTTCATCCTGCTTTCGTAGAGTCCAAGTCTCTGAGGCGTACGTCAAGGCAGGAAGGACCGCGGAATCGAAGAGGTGGGCACGGAGCTTGGTGTTCTTCGTCTTCTTCGCTACCCTCGATGTTCTTGAAGGCTCCCCAAGCCGCTCGACTTCCTCCTGCTCAGCTCTGGAGCCGAGGATTTCACGACTCAGGTACACATAGCTAGAGCATTCAGAGATGGTTGTTTTCTCATGAACATCGTCTTCGTTAGGTTCAGCCGTAGACCGATTCTTCCACACGCGCAGTCGAATTCAGCCAGCATTCGTTCCGCTTGCTCGATGTTTGGCGTTATCAAAACGATGTCGTCAGCAAAGCGGAGATGGTGTAGTTGCCGACCGTCGATCTTCACTCCCATGTCTTCCCATTCCAGTTGACGCATGACGTTCTCGAGAGAGGCGCTGAAGAGCTTGGGCGAGATGGTGTCGCCCTGTCGGACCCCTCTCTTCACATCAATGATGATCTCCTTGTAGAATGGTGAAATCTTGGTCGTGAAGTTGCTGTAGAGCTCACGAAGAATCCTGATGTACTGAGTAGGAATACCCTGGTTGCCCAGGGCTTCGATAACCGCTTGTCTCAACGGAGTCGAAGGCTTTCTTCAAGTCGATAAACGTGAGACATAACGGCATCTTGTACTCTCGCGATACTTCAATGAGCTTCGTTACCGTGTGGATGTGATCGATCGTGCTGAATCCTCTTCGAAACCCTGCTTGCTCGCATGGCTGTCCTTCGTCTAGTGTTCTGCCAATCCTGTTCAGGATGACTCGTGTGAAAAGTTTGTAGACTACAGACAGCAGGCAGATTAGATAATTGCCAATGTCGTACAGGTCTCCCTTGTACAGCAACAACAAGTCTTGCTGGTTTTCCACGAGGTGGGTACCTTGCATTCCGACAGGTAGCGCGTGAAGAGTCGAGCCAGAGTTTTGACAAGAACTGGCGGAAGATTCTTCAGATGTTCGGGTCTGATCCTGTCGGGACCAGGTGCCGTACGATTCTTCACCGACGAGATGGCGTGTCGGACTTCGGAAGAGAGAACTGCAGAAACGACACACCCATCCTGCTCCAAGCGGTATGGTTGCAGGTGGACGTGGCTGTCAAAGAGATTAGAAGTCGTGGATGACCTTCTCCATTGCCCTTCTGGATGCGGTGATTGTTCCATCCGGACGTCGGAGGGCGGTCATCTTAGTCTTACAGTTGGCGAAGTCGCGGCGGGCGTTGCGTACGCTCTTCCCAGCCTCTGCGGCTTCCACCAGTACTGCTGCTCTTCTCTCCTTGAGGTCTTCCTTTATCGCTTCTCTGCATAGCTTCGCAAGCTCAGACGTCAGCTGGTAATTGCCTGCGGCTCCGCGGACTCCACGTTGGCGAATACAGCTTCAGAGATTCAGAGATAGCAAGCTTCTTGGTAATCTTGGAACCCTCTGACTTCTTGGCGCAGTCGTGAAGATGTGCAACAAGCCTTTCGTATTCCTCGTCGATGTTGTCAATGACAGAATCCTCCCAGAGCCTAGCGAGAGAAGTGAAGTGATCCCAGTTGATGGTGGTCTTGGGGCTTCGCTTCTTGAACTTTGCGGCTCTCTCTCCTCGCATCGAAAAGCGGAATCTTGCGCGAAGGAGACGATGGTCGGATTCCGTGTAGAACTTAGGGACAACAGCGACATCGGTCAGGCAAAACCTTCGATTGCAGATGATGTGGTCGATCTCGTTATGGAATTGTCCACCACTGTCCAGCGTAGAGAGTAGGGCTTCTGGAACTGCGAGTTACCATGGATGGTGTGGGTCGACATGATAAACTCAGACAGCCTTTCACCCTGCTCATTCCACTCCGTTCCGTGAGTTCCGATGTGAAGTTCTTCAGCCGTTCTTCTTGGTCCGATCTTAGCGTTGAAATCACCGACGATGACCTTGAGAAGGTGTGATCTTCCTTGTAGAACTTCTCCAATTCCATATAGAACGCTTCGAGCTCATCCCGCGAAGATTCGTCACAAGCTGGAGTGAACTACATCTTCTCAATCGCAAACTCACGACCGGTCGTCAGACTTCGTACGAATCGATGTTCATGGCCAAGTGCGTGTTGACGAGGACGCCCACACCGCCAACGCCTCTGCTGTCGCATGTTCCGAGGAACAGTTCTTCTCCAGTCTCGTATACGGCGTGTAGCGGGCGATGCCTCCTCGTCTCGGTCAGTCCGATGACGTCGTACTTGATCTTCCTGGCTTGCAACATCAGATCTTCGATGTGAGCTTCCGATGCAAGCGTCCGTGCGTTGAAAGTACAGATCGTCATCCTAGTCCTGGGCGACTTGAATCTCCATTGGCCCTGTGATTTTAGCAGCCCTCGCCCGAGCGGTCCCAGCCGACGTCGCCCTGTCGGTGGTTCCCTCAGGTTCAGGGGAATGAGGCCCATAACTGTTACTGTTTTCGGCGATAAGAAGTTTAACCACGCGTAGCTCGCCAGGCTCTGACGTGGCACCTTCCGCATTCGTACGTTTTTGGAACAGTCCAAAACCGTTCACCCCTACGCCACGATGAGGCTGCGGATAGGATTTGTAGGGGTCTCCAATACTACGCCCTTAACCACACGGCCAGTTCTCCGCATAAGAACTCTACGACCGTAATGACGCATTTTCATGCTTTTTTTAGCCTCCATGCAGTTCGTTGTGCACTGAAAGGCCCAGACCTTGAAGGCCGCGAGTCACTGGAGAAAGGAGGGTCACTGGATTTATACTGCGCTATAGCCCCCTCCCCCCTTACAAGTGTTTGCCACGAAACCGGTGCAAGGTTGTTCGTCGCGGACTACACAACCCTCCTCACGCCATATTTTCAACTATACCTGATCGCGGACCGCGGTATTGGAACAGAAGTCAGATGACCCGAAATGGCCAGGCGAAGCGCCGAAAAGGAAAATGTAGCCACTGTTGAATAGGTGTAAATGGAAAATAGACCGGTGGGGCACTTAACATTGTAAAATAATGCCTTGAAGTCACAAGGATGAAGGTGACGTATAGGTTAGATACTGCGTTCCTGCGGAAACTCCGCTTCAGAGTAAATTCATTACTGAGGGTGTGTTAGGATGTCAGCTTAGGTCAAGGACTTCAACTAGGGCTATACCGACCAGTATTTCTCTTATGACTGAAGTAACATTTCAAAGTTCTTGTCAGTGTCGTAGCTTACCACCTAACTTCTTCAGTACAAGCTAATTGCTGTAGTAAACAGAAAAGCGTGAGCGTTTTGAGATCGGATCTATTAAAGTTGCTTTTGTACAGTAAGGGACAAGAACTGATTATAGAGTAGTCTTTTTTGAACACGTCAACACTGAAGATTATCATCAGGCTATTCATCGAAGGAAGCCCTTCATCTTCATCATATGCAAAAAAACAATCACACTAGGAATATCATTCAGCATAAGGAAACCTTTCTAGGGATGCTCAATTACGAGTTGTACAGTTTCCATGAAATAAGCGACATGTGCCCGGAGAGGGTTCCCAACGGTAGAGGATGTGTACTCGGAAGCTTCTAGCCTAGCGGTAGGATGACCGATGGAGAAGTTAGTGAGCGGCAAAGAGCATCTTTCACCTTGGCAGGGGTGAAAGTTATCCAGTGTAGGGATATGCACAGTTTAAAGAGCCTCCTTCAAGAAGTCGCACACAGCAGGACGAGAGCCTAGAAACAGAGCAATATTCCAGTGAAGAACAGGATGTGTACATTCACTTAATGAAAGAACTATGTGGAGACAGGGTACAGTACGGAATGAGTGAAATAGCGGTGTTAGAGTGACCTCCCCCTTCTGCAATCCACTTCTCACGACCTACTTACTGTTTTACCAGAAGTTCCCATAATTTTCTAACATGGGGAGGAAGTTGGCACCTCCAATCAGCTATCAGAAATCGTAATTCTGCCGCTACCCAGCTATGGAAACAGGGCACATCATTGGTTGGGGATTTTAGTCGACTCTATACGACCCCCTCCCTTTTTTCGGGAGTTGGTACGACCCCCCCCCACAGCCCTCTGTCCTTCCTCACTCGCGTCGAGCCATCGAGCGGACGGGGGGCAGGGCTATAGTACCGTTGAACAGGAAAATCACAAAGTCAACCGCCGCTCCACAACCGTGCAAAACCTAGAGTAGACCTCACAAATCATCAAAATACGACCCTCCCCCTCCCTTTACAACGTCCATGAATCGAAAAGCAACTATCAAAATAAATTTTTCTCAGCCCAAATACGACCCCTCCCTCCTGGGACGCCATATACACCCCACCCCTATCGGAAATTCCCAGCTACGATGTGCCCTGTATTGAAGGCCAGGCCAGGGTCGTGTATGGCGCATGAAACGGAAAAATCAACAAAAAGGAAACCCCTCAAAACCCATTGTCCCACAGCAACCAAACTGACCACCTTGTTGGGATATGCATTGGAGAAATTCAAAGTTGATATCCGCTATGTAGAGTTTATTTTGCACCCTCGACCTTCGGCCCGCTAGTCTTAGGCTGCCCCGGTACGAAAGTGGTTCGTCTGGGGAAGAGGCAAAGCAGATCACCTCTGCTTCGGGTGATTTCTTCTGCAACCACTTGTTCTTCTTAATTTCTAATAGAAAAAAGCAGAACATTCTTCGAGCTGTATTTAAAAATACGACAAATTTTCGTTTACATTTTTCCAGTCGCATGCTCACTTTCAGGAAAAGAGGCATCGAAACGGTACATTCACGAGAAGTCTATCTTCCAGGAGCTGACACACTTGAAGCGAATGCAAATACAGTATGGGAAGGTAAGTTTCCGTGGTGATAAACGGTTCCCCTTCATCATCTTTCCTAGGAAATCCAGTCCACACCACCATGGTCAAATAGTACGTCTACTGTTTCATTTTCATATGACATCGTGACTCTATTTGAGGTGCAAGAACGTATACTTGTACGATCATTGGTGGGAAATTTCTGTAAAATGCACGGCCTCGATCCTGTTCATTTCAAGTTCCAAACATTCTACTCATGGGAGAAGTTCCTTTACGGTAAGCAAATTCGAGAGCATAAACAGCACAAGCTATATAGGATCGAACACAGGTAGTTTTTGCACAAACCCCATACGAGGCTGGTAACTAGATCAAGCGAATAGGGCGCCATACACAGCCTCTCTGGGAAGCTGGAAAATGGAAATCAAATCATGAGTTGCGCTGCCAGTTTAACAACCGTGTGAATCTTTGAGAGCAACTGGTTTTCCGCCTTTGTAATCAGTAGATAACAGTACTCGCTAGATGAACTCACGCACGACAGCATAGCAATTAGCAATACTGACTGTTGAAGTACGCGAGTAGGTTTACGAGTAAGGTTTACGTAGCGGATTAGTTCCTACCTTACTTAACCCACAACCGATACTCCAAATTATGCTATTTCAAATTGTTGCAATTCCATTTGTAAGAGGATGCACTCGAAATCCCTAAAATTAGCTCTGCGTGGCTGCGTACTTCCACTAAACGTGGCGGTGAATGTGCTCCCGGTGAGATATTTTCATTTTGAGACAATTGCGGCGTGTTCTTGTCCAGCCCAGAACAAGATGACAGTTGTCTTGAATTGAAACATTCCACTAGTAACCCCTTTTATGCTACGAATGCCACGCCTTTTCCGTCTCATGGATAAGGAGAATAAAAGATTACCGAGAAGAAGGAAACTCAAAGGAAAGCGGTCAGTAACCTGCACACGCGAAAGATATCCTGCGGCTCATAGTTGAAACTGACGAAGGTGGCAAACGGCGTTATTTGTCGTGCGCAAGACAGGATATCGTGTCGCTCCTTGGTCGGTTTCCCTGCAGGGTAATCAACCTCCATCCATACTGGGCCACTAATTGGTCGTATTGACTAAATTATATCATCAATGAAAACAGGAGAATCATGAGAATGCCATTACAAACCATAAATGAAGGTGCTTTTGTTTCTTTGCTCTCTCACCTCAGAGGCGAACTGTACATTCATCTCCATGGGTCCCAATTTTTGCCATGTTTTAGGTTAACGGCGGTCCGCCAGCCTGCCAGCTAGCACTTTCTCCGTTCAAAATTCCACAGGAGCAAGGGTGAAGGGTAGTGCTAACTAGATGCCGACTCCATAGTTCGCCTCGCGCTGAAGCGCACAGGCGTAAGCTGGGTTTATACTTCGCGGCAGCCAGCTCTAGGAGTGGAGAGTACGAAACGAAAAGAGGATAGCAGACAGCTGCTAGAGTATGGGGAGAAGGCAGCAGACCTTACAGTCTACCAGCGGTCTGCTACCCTCCTTTCTTCGCATACTCTCCACCCTGGGCGCCGGTATAAGCTATGCATAGATACCTATGATTCTTATTAGCTGACACTGACGGCACCCAGTATCAGCTGCCTCTGCCTCTCTCTCTCTCTCTCATCTTTGAGCGACGGTAGATAGCCACGGTATTGCTAGCTTGCGGATCCATACATTCGGGAAAAATTCGGGAATCTAACGAATGAAAGGGTACAGTTTGTTTTTGAGCGGGCAAAAAACGGCGGCTTCGTGCTCCATTCATCCCACACATGGAGACGACCATTCTAAGAGGTGAATGTGCAGTTTGTCGTTAATGTGCGGAATGCTCACTATGAATGTTGTTCTCGAGAGCATTGGTTTTTTTCTGATGTGGTAAGGTGGCAGTGCGTTCCAATGTGAAAATCACCCTTCTGGATGTAATGGCCTCTGGTGATATACCCAGATGGTTCAAATTCACATCACATGGAGCGCAGTGATTGAAACCTTGTTGATCTGAAGGCCATCAATTTCAGACACGCTTTCAGACCAGTTGAAGTTGATCTACATGGAAGAGCGAGCAAGACTAACACACGCGAGAGCCGCACCAAGGTCGATAACTACTGACCGTTTCGAGACTCGTGTTCAACAAGCACGAGCCGTACCGCTAGCCAATGACCAAGTGAGACGTCTAAGCCGAGTATACGGGAACAGTACGATGACTAAAGGAAAGTCGCTTGGTAATAAAAAATCTGACAAACCCACTGGATTGCTTAGTGGTGCAAAAAGATGCGATTGCCTCGGCAAACACCTTCTGATCAAACAGCAGTGATATCCTCCAGATTTTTTGTGACTAGGTTCCTCACTCATACATTTCATTCTGTCGTTCTTTCATAGAGCGCCCAACATTTTTTTTTGATAATTTCCCAGTCCCGTCCTCATTGCAATTGGCATTGTTCGTTTTATCGGAAAGCTGTGATCTTCCAGATTCGGTACATTACTGAGGTTTATTGTGACTGTAAAACATATTAGAAGAGATTCGTTATGCTCGTGTAACATAAATATGTATCTCCATTCTGAGGTGTTCGTAATCCTTAAAAACGTTGAAGATTGTATTATGAAACAAGTGTTCACTGAACTTAGTTAGGGAAATGGACACACCCGAATACATCTATGTAAGGCTGATAAGATTCAACTTATGGTTAGACGAAGTGCGAGATTGAATTGGTAATAATCGTGAGGCTAGACACGCTTCAAAAAAAGTATTTACTATGACAACAACTAATAACAAAGGAGCGTGATCACAGAAATGAAACGATCGCATAGAATTTCTTCTTTCCGTAGAGTCGGATGCGGGATCGAAGTGAGATACCATTGTGAGCGGACAAGCTTCTCGTAGAACGTCTAATCGGGAGGATCGTTGCCCGTACAACTGATCCTTGGAAGCTGTTGGGTCTTCCGTTTAACCCCCACGGCCCTACCCGCTCTCTTCCACTTCGCCACTAACTATGAAGGCCCGGCCCACGGAGGCCTCAGCCACTTACGGCCTTGTACGGATGCCATGTCGAGGCCACAGGAAGTGCTCCGCTGACTCTCCATCCCGCTCTGCGTGGGCGCACTAAGGCGATAGAACAGGGAAGAACCCCTCTTAATACGAATGATGAAGAGGACGAAAACAAACTAACTAAACAAAGAAACCACAAACTCTTGAAGACAACCCCACTGATAATCGAACCATAATCGAACCATTTTAAATACGACTTCGTCCCGCCTCCCCGCGCTAAACTGATCTACTGCAGAGATTACCTCTGATCCTCCTGTGATCAACTCCTTTCTTACCGATAGCGCCCTGCGCTTCAGTGGCATCCGCAATTAGCGGTTTTGACCAGTATCCTCCTCTCTTGCTGACATCTAATCATCACAGCACGGTTGGACGAAAAGTCCTACCAGGTCTTGAAAAATCTGATGTAGAAGACGACTGAGAAGTGTTTCTTGAGGCAGCGTTGAGAGTTTGAGATGACGCGCTGTGACGCGCGTCGAGGTGCTGCGTTTCCAACAGCGTTACAATCTTATAAACGCGAACGCCGCCGCAAATGGGAATCGATCGGCGCCAGGCACTTGTATATTGCGAGAGCATGGGGGAACAGGTGATTGGGTGTCGCTTTATCACGCAATCTTGTATCGATCGGCCATGGCCGCTTGATTGTTGGGAAAGTACTGGTGCATGGGAGAGTACCAGAATGGGAAGAAAGAGCATACCTTCGTGTTATCTTATACGCTCTCATAACACGAGCGGTAGGCAAAGATCGATTCCGCGGCTGCGTCCTTGTCTGTAAGGTGGAGCGCGTCGACGGATGCCAGCGGAAAATTTGGACGCTGTCTGAGCAATCTTTGGGGTTACAAATGTGATCCAGAAAGGGAATAAATCTTCAAGCCTCTTGAGCGCCTGACTCTGTAGAGTACTACCGAAGATTACAGTGAAGGGCACCTCAAGTATTAGTGCAGGATTTTGCAGCTTGATGATTCCCTGTAGGGCATGCAACTTTTCAAGGATGTTCCCGGCCTTCTATTCCAGCAAGACCACGCTGCAGGCTTATCACCGAAGCTGACTCTGTGTCAAGCAAGGATGGCGTCCACGCTTATCACCGTATCGCCATCAGCTCTTGGAATCTGAAGATATTTCACGTAAAACTGAACAACCTGTTAGTCGACCAACCAAGGAGTCGGCCATCTGCTCAACATATTTGAGGCACAACTGAACGCGTTCCATCAGAAAGTTGTCAACATCTCTAGAGTGACTGCGAAAAAGCTTCCTCGCGATCTCGGTCTACCTAGAAGTTTCCCCTATGGGAACCGCATGAGATGCTCCGGTTTGATGAGGTGTGAACCCATGGATGTGAGTGAGTCTCCTCTTAGTTGTACACCACAGAAAATGTGGTGAACGATTGCAAAAGGGTGTCTCAGGTAATTCATGCACCGAAGCTCCTCAGAATTTCCTAAGGAAGAAGCTGAGTGCAGGATAAAAGCAGACATACGCAGAATAAAGGTTTCATAGTAACACTGATGGATTCTTCAGAAGGATGCCGCTGGATACTGGCGCAGCTGTGACAACCGCAGTCTAATCTGATGACGCTTGAGATGATTTGAAAGGTGCAACTTTTTCCAATTCCGTGACGAGCACACTCGAAATTGTTGATGAAATGAAAAAATGAAATGCCAATTGTTAGCATATTTCAGTCATGATAAGGGCTGATCCTCTCTCACACCCCAGATAGGGTCAGCGCTGTTGGGCAGTATTTAATTGTTACCTGTTTATCTTCCCAAAGTATCCCCTATGTCTAGAGATGGAAACGTTCTATAGTCGACACGAAAACCAAGTTAGCCTGTTCTTCTTATTGCTCTTGCTACAATCTCGGAAGAGCAGGATTGCGAAGCTGCCGCAACGGATTCACGCGATCCCTAGTAATTAACGCTAATTGACGTGATCATTGGTGACCTCCTCTATGAAAGCATATGAGATTTTGTTCGAAGTGCCGCAGAACTCTTCTACCAGCCTATTATATTGCGACCGACTCATTAGTCTCTGAAAACACTGCGCGAATGCTACTAGTTTCGTTTCATTGAACTAACTACTGTTCCGTTTTCAGCCGATTATGGTACGAAAGATCTCACAAAGATGCTGAGATCATGCTCACAACAAACATTCTGAACTTCAGAGATCAGGGTATTAAAAGAGTTGGTTGTAAGCTCATGCGACCTCAAATCTCTACTCTTTACGCGTCCACTGATATGTCATGAGGCTACATTTGTGGCAAATAAGAGCCGAATCGGTAACGCTCAGGGAAGTAGTATACTCACTTTTGAGGACGGTCCTCCCCATGCGAGGTAAATGGATTCGCGGCTGCAGTGGCATGCCGCAATCTTCGCTGAGTGAGAGTGCTGCTCTTTACCCTGTGCGCGTAACCATCAGTGTGCAGCACTTGCGTCGTTACCAAATCTCACAGCGAACATGCAGTTATTGGCAGAGAACAGTGAGACGTGAGTTGGCGCAAACAGGTAGCGCGTCTGGTTATGCTTAGGCGTGTGGGGCCGGGCGACAGCGGAGCAGAGTGGGTGATGGCACCCGGGTATAACTACCCTATCCCCGTGCACTTTTGAACGGGAAATGGCACGCTACTGCAGCTGCGAACGTTTTCACCTTCAGGAATGACTAGGATCCATTGAGATGAATGTCCAGTTGTGTTTAGCGAGTAGAGTTTGGGCAAGACACTGCAGCTGCTCGGGTACAATCAATCAAACAAGCGATGACAACTAACTGTCAGCTACCCCTAATCGCAGTCACCGAAAAACGACAATTTTTGAGGATTCTCCATGTGGGCAGTTTCAGAATGTGTGCCGACAGCTCGCTACTAATTAATATTGATATTGCCTATTAATGTCAGCTCCATTGATATTGCCTTATGTCGTTGGAACCTATTCGATAAGAAATGTTGACTGCCTCTGGAAATTGTGAAAATATTTAAGACACGCACGCCTGGCCTTGCAGTAAACGGTGAATAATGCCGAAAGACTGCAGTACTGTCAGTGGGACACGAATAGAACATTGACGTCTTAACAACTCTGTGTATACTCCAGCTCAACTAGGAGAGTTGAACTAGTACTAACGACAGTCACTTATCACAAGAAAGTAGGGTTACGGGCGTCAGGACTCGAACCTGGACCTTATACTTACACTGCAAGTGTGACGCTCTGTTTCTGCTTAACTAATAGTCCCTCAACAGAAAAGGAACGGTCACTATTTCCTGACCATGTCCGATCTTTGATTGATCCGCGCAGTTTGGCACTCTAGTAGCTATTTATTTCAATAGGTTAACGTGACGTAACCCTAAGCCGGTCCTCTAGGGATAGTAACAATAGAACTGAAGGGTTCTTATA